GCGGTTCTTTTCCAAAGAATGGGTTAGAGTCCTAGCACCTATATTGGGCAACCAACAACTTCCTGTAGCTTCAGCTTTGGGGATTCCAACATCTCTGTCCTCCATGTGCACACACTCATATGCAGGCACCAACCCACACATAATTAAAAATAATAAAAATAAAGCTTAAAAAATACGGTAGATAATACTTTAAATTGGTAATGATATACAGGCTTCAAAGGTCACTTTGGCAATAGTTACTACCATGTTTAATAGGAGCATTTTGTGCTTAAGTAATCTGGCTTTCAGTAATTTATTCTGCAGCACAGAACTTTATGTGTCTCAAGAAAGCCATATATAAACAAAGACTGACATATGACAGTCTTTGTAAAAAAACATCTGGAAAGAGCATTCTAAGGAACGTAAACATCAAAAAAAAAAAAAAAAAAAGAAAGAAAAAAAGAAAGAAAGAAAGATCCTTAAATGAGAGGTAAAAGCCAATGAAAAGAATGCTTTACTCTGGAGCCTTCAAGGCTAGGAATTAACTGGACTTTTGATTTAAGTCTTACCTTCTAAATGGTATTCTCACTTAATCATTCATTAGCTTGAATGTGCCTATTATAACTTCCAAAATTAAACGCTTACCTTTCTCTCAAGTAGTCTATACCAGATATTACATCAGGATTTATAAAAACTGAAGGGACTCTAACCAGCTCCAGCATGGTGAGGATGGCTCTTGGCAGGCCTTGCCCTTCTCCATTCCCTCTGGCTTGCTAAAAACCATTAGATTCCTAAAGCTTGACACCAAGGTCTATTCTCTTATATGGCTGCTTCCTCCTCCCTGGCTGATGAACAAGGTCCAGGTATCAAAGTATTGAAGTGCAGCAATCAAAAGCCCCCTTTGGCTCACCAAATTAACAAGCCCAATTAAAATTAAATATCTTATCCTAACACAGGTTTTCCCCTTTACCTTTATAAACCACGATCTGTCTATGGGCACTGTCTGTCTCCTCTCTATCCAGAGGCAGTCTTTCGTCCTCCAGGACAATCACCTAGCCTCCCTTTCCCACGTTCCCTTCTTCTTTGCCTTCATCCTCTATTTCCTGTCTTTGTCTCTTATTTTCTACCCTCTGGGGCAATTAAATGTCCTTTGTGCTAAGAACTTGGCCATGAGGGTCTGAGCTAATACTTTTCCTTTCAAAAACTTTCACAAGGTCTAAACAGAGTTCTAAACAACTCTCACATACATAAAAGCAGCACCTACAGAAAAATTGCCCCAACGACCAAAAATCACTGGGAGACATAAAACAAAACACTTTATAAAAGGGGTGCAGAGGCCAGAAGAGGGCATTGGATCCCCTAGGACTTGAGTTGGAGATGGCTGTGAGTCATCTTGTGTGTGCTGAGACTCAAACCCAGGTCCTTTGGAAGAGAAGCCAACTGTGGAGTCATCTCTCCAGCCTATGTCTAGTACTTCTTTGTTCAAATCTTTGATGACTTTTAACCTAAATTTAAACTTCTCACTCCAGCTTCCTATATTCCAAAACTAAAACACTTCCAGACTTGTGTCCTACGCCATTCTCATGGTATCATATGATTAACAGATATACTCGAAATTCAGTCCATTGTTCAGGCCCCAGCTCAACTATTAGCCCTCCCTTTTCTAAAAATTCCCTTATATCTCCATCCTAGAGGCAATGTGGTTATAGCTTAAAAACTGTCTTGTTCCACATATATGAGTTAGCAAAGGCAGAGAGCATGAGATTGCCAGGAGCTGCGGGAGGGACAAAAACAGCTGGACATAGTGGGGCACATGCCAGTAATCCCAGTACTCAGGAGAGTAAGACAGGATGGTGAGGCCAAGCCCTCCAACATGAAACCCTGCTATCAAGAAATAAAAAAACCTCAATAACCATAAGGTCTGTCTGTCCGTCCCTCCTTCCGTGTGTGTGTGTGTGTGTGTGTGTGTGTGTGTGTGTGTGTGTAATTTCCTCTGAATATCACACATTAATTACAGATAAAAACCTTATTTCACTTCTCCATTCAGTACCGCCTACCTGTACATTTATACAACATTCCCGTCATCGTTCCGGCTGCTACTGTGTTGAGGTCATCTTCTGCACCCCGTGTTTTCTCGATGATAACACCAAATGCACTATAGAGCAAAGCTAAGGCAGAAACAGATATCAGTGATCAAATTTAGAACAGTAATCGTATTAGGTAGCTACACCCAAAGACAGACAGAACCATCACAGGAATACTGCTATTTCCTACTAAAGAAAAATCTAACAACAAACAAAATGTCCACCGAGACACTGCAGTGATCCAGAATACAGAATACCACAGTCACATAAAAGGAAAGAAGATACTAGGCAATGGTGGTGCACACCTTTAATCCCAGCACTAAAAAGGCAGAGGCAGAAGGATTTCTGAGTTCCAGGCCAGCCTGGTCTTCAGCTTCAGGACAGCCAGGGCTACACAGAGAAACCCTGTCTCAAAACACACACACAACAGAAAGCTAAGAAGCCCTCCATTCACTGTTACACACACCAGGTACACGTGTGCAATAGCGTAAAACTGACTGGTTATGCAAAGAGGAGGTTGGGGAGACGCAGAATAAATGTTATTACTAGAAAGTATTACTGCAGAGTACCTTATGTCATTGATACTGTTTTTTTAAAAACACCCATATATTTCTACTATAGTAAAATAATATAGCCAACAGTGACACACACCTTTAATCCTAGCACTCATGAAACAGAAAAAGACAGATCTCTGTGAGTTACAGGATGGCTAGTCTACATGGCAAGATCCAGTCCATCCAGGGGTACAGAGAGAAAGGTCCTGTCACCTTCTCTCCAAAACAACAAAAACCCTCCACACAGTATTAATAAAAGAATTTGAGGTCTGACTCTCACATAAACTAAAACCCTTTAGTTTTACACAACCTTCAGACAAACCCGTATATGTACTTTACCTATGTCTATCAGGCACAATATGCATTATATTGCTTTTGTACCACTTTTCAAAATTATAGCTACATGGGTATTACACATTTTTAATCCCAGTACTCTAGGAGCAGAGGCAGATGCAGAGGCAAGTGCATGTCTCTCTGTGTTCCATGCCTGTGGCCAGATAGTAAGTTGCAGGCCAGCTAAAATTAAAGGAAGACCCTGGCTCAAAAAAACAAAACCAAACATAGCTGCACTTGCCTTTTCAACATTCTACGAAGCTCAGGCTAACCCTTTGTCTGTTATGGAACCTCTATATTTTTATGAAAGCTAGTCTTTTTGTTAGACATATTTAACTGAAAATGATCATATATATAACATTTTGACCAGTCAAATAACAATACAATGAAAAACATGGTACCCACTAGAGTGACCATCTATTCCACCCTGCCTAGGACTGTAGGACTTTCTGGAATGTAGGTTTTTCAGGGCTAACAGTAAGTAAATTATAATGTAGGCACAGATTGTGGAGTTTCCTGGGTATATAAGCAATTAACAGAAAAAAACATAACTTCTGTAGGGGTTGCTTCCACGTTGAAGATATAGCAGAACATCAAAGTCGCCATTTGTCAGAAGACAAATTGTGAATTTGGCTTTCTGGTTTGAAAATGTACTGTGTACTGCTTACAAATTCCATAGCAAGGTAGGACTTTTACTAAGTTACAATAGAGGCCTTTTGTCTTTTTAAGTTTGTCTCCATTTTTCCTTACTCAATCTGTTACAAACAGAAAAAGAAGTTCAGCTTGTCTCCAAATTATGCAAACCTCAGATGGTAAGGTATATGTATTACAAGTAGTTAAAAATCAATAACAATCAAAAGAACAAACTACTCATGACAGTATGTCATGAAAGCACCAGGTTCTGACTAAGCACCATTAAGTTAGCCCTGGTCTGTAACTGTAAATGCTTTCTTTATCTACAAAGACCTACTGTAGCCCCGCCATTCAGGTCCTGGACACCTACAGATGGACTGACTCAACAGGCTATTGGGAACACAAAGTAAAAGATCTGCCCTGAGCTGTCACGTCTCACTACAGGACTTTGAACCTTTCTTAGCATTTACAGCCCAATTCCTTGGACATCATTTAGTTTAAAACAGGATTTTACTTGGCATACTATTTGGACAGGTAAGGTGGCATTTACAAGTCTTTTCACAGATGACAGCTTATAATACTTAGCAGAGTAGATTTAAATGTGAATTGTTTGGCCTGAAACCAGAATCTTGGTTGAGCAAATTGTTCACGACACATTCTTTTTTACATGAATGACTTAGCAGCTAGGAAGGTGGCCCAATGGAGAAATGTCCACCCAGCATGCCTGAAGCCCTGAAGTTGGTTCCCCAGTGCACACCTGTAAGTTCATCACTTGGAAGGTGGGACCAGGAGGACCAGAATTCCAAGTTTCTCCTCAACTGCATAACAAGTCTGAGACCAGACTGAGCTACATGACACCTTGTCTCAAAAATAGAAGATTCATGGAACAAGATTTATACTTACCCAGAGAACCTAGAGTATTAGCCCAAAGTGCTCCTTGCCTAGTCACCATATTCAAAATCCTACCAGGGAAGAAGGAGAAAAAAAAAAAAAAATTGTATTTAGGATCACCATTTCTCTAGTAGTCTTATAAGCCATAATAGTAGCTACATAAAACACCTAGATCCAAGCCTCAATGTTTTTTGTAGCTTTACCTCATATTTTAAAAAATATGGTTGTTACTTTATATAAATGAGGGTTATGATAAAAATTTTCAACACCGTGGACGACTGCAGAAAGTCTTTAGTAAACATAAAATTATTAAAGACAGATTAAACATACAAAAACCTTGAAGAGGAGCCTGAAATGTATTTTACAAATTGACCTGTATAAAACAATGTCACTGTAACTGTGACAAACTGGTTTGATTACTTTCAGAACATTTAAGTAGAATCTATGAAAGGCCTTGGGGGTACAGAATGCAGGGCAGAACCGAAGAGAAAGGAGCACCTTCACAACTGGAGCCCATGGAGAAAGCACTGTCTGCTCCCACACTAGAACCAAGCAGTCAAAGGGAATGCTTAGCACACTCTCAAGGAAGCAAAGTTCCGTCTCCCACCAGAGTCCCAGCCACCAGAACAGTGGCAAGGCGACCAGTTGAAGACCACACGTTACTCTCCCAGCAGTGTAACACCATCACAGGGATGTGTCTGGGATGGCTGACTACTACTGGAAATACAAAATAAAATCGCAAACAGTAACAACTTAAAGATCCATAGCAACAAAAATGTGTTTGCTTTTCAAATGTTGTTTAAAAAGCTAGTAATGGCTATGGAAAATATTTTCTAATTAGTTATGTTATATATTTACTAGCACATCAATTTAGCACATAATTTTAAAATCTATTGCAAGCTTCCAAACTTGTAATAATTTTCATCATTACATTGGTGACACAACTAAAAAATGGCAAAACTCTTTGGAATACAATCTGGCCGCACACTTCCATTTTGTGAACCTTTATTTACTTCTCACTTTTTAAAAAATGTTTTTGTTAAAAGTTTATTTATTTATCATGTATACAATGTTCTCACCGCATGTACACCTGCATATAAGAATAGGGCACCAGATCTTTTACAGATGATTGTGAGCCACCATGTGGTTGCTGGGAATACTCAGGACCTCTGCAAGAGAGCGGTCCTTAACCTATGAGCCATTTCTCCAGACCCTACTTCTCACTTTTTATCACCTTCCACAACTCTGCAAGGCAGAAAGTAGAGAAAGCTTACTCAAGATCACAAAATATTAAATAATTAAACTAGGATTATGAAGCTATACAGAGTGTGTTTGGCTATAGATTCCACCTTTTTCTATTATTAAGTGCTGCTTTCCAATATGAAAAGACTAGAAAGATTATATTGCTATTGTTTTCAAAAATGAGGTATAGTATCTTTTCTAAGAGATTTTCTACTTGTAAATTCATATTTACTATTGTTTGGGGATTTGTTTCAAAATAATGCAAGAGAAGAAACTGAGTATGACTGGCCATGGCTGATGGTTGTTGTAGAAGAGTTAGGGTTCACAGGTATTTATTACACTATTTTAGCTTCTTATACTATAGATACTGAATTGTTAGTACAAGAATTCATGTAGTAACAGGAAAGCACTGGCAAGGCTTGAAGGTTCTCTAAGTCTAATTCCAGCATGTCTGCTGCCACCTTCTGGCAGAACAATACACTCGCAGTTCAGAGCTTAGTGTGCTCACTACCAGGGACTGAGCAGAAGGCTCAATTGGTAAGGCCACCCCCACACATGTGGACACCTGCACACATGTACACACATACACAATAATGATCTCTGAGTTCTAGAAATCTTATTTAAGAGTTTCTGTCCCTCCCCACTTAATTGAAGCATGCCAGCAAGAAGCTAATAAACCTACCTCATCACCAAGCACGCTAATGTTATCGGTCTCCAAACAATCGAAATGCCCCATTAGCACCTCAACAGTTTAAAAAGCATGTCATGTAAGTGTGGAGAACAGAACACACGTTAAGCCAAGAAATCAGGTTGGGGTAGTATCAGCTGAATGAGGACACCAACCCAAAATTTACTCCTCTGTAAATTTGCGAAGACATCTTTGCATCTGCAAAGATACACTAACTTGGTTCCTCATGTTTTAGAAAGACAGTCCAAACCAAATATTAAAAATAGAAGAAGAAGAAGAAGAGGAGAAGGAGAAGAAGAAAAAAAGATTGGGGGGAGGTAATGTTAATTATTTAAACATGTTATTAACATAGGGTGGTAATCACTAAAAACAGTTAATGTACAAACATCACAGCAGATTTCATACTTACTGTACATTTCTTGGTTTGGACCAGGCCATGCTCTGGGTTTCCTTCAGTCCTAGACGAAGACCATTCATTGCCCCAAATGCAGCTCCTGGTGGTGGTGAATAATAATTTAACAACAACAACAACAACAACAACAACAACAACAACAACAGCTTTATGTTAAAAATACTTGTTTGCTTTTTTCTTTTTTATATAATAAAAAAATGTGTTATGTGTTTTAAAAATTGAAAACAATATTCCAGATATTTTTTTCACCTTAAATACCATAAACTACCTTGATTTAAAAAACAAAAACAAAAAACTGCCCACCTGTCATGCAACATCCTCCAATGGTAAAGAAAGCTAGTTCAAATCTGCCTCGGGTTTTATTAGCTCCAGTTGGCAAAATAAACTCATCAGTATCCTAAAGAGCAAAAAGGAAAAAACCAAGATGAGTGTTACCTGAAGACACTGCACTTGGACAGCTATAACTTTCTTCCTCTTTCAGTTTATGAGACAGGGCCCCATTACGTAGCCTAGGCTGGCCTGGAACTCAAAATTATCCTGCCTTAGCCTCCCAAATGCTTGGATTACAGGTTCCTTCAACTTTTCAAAGTAGTTTTGAAATAAGCAAACAATTTGGATTTTTAGAAGTGAGAAGATTCACCTTTAATCTGTCACACCTTCTGGCAGCCTATATAAAGGGTATGGAAGAAAACTTGCTTTTCATAACAAGCCTATTCCTTCACTGGCATTATATCCTTCTTTGATATTTTGGCACATATTGAAGACCAGCTGAGACATTCGGCCTTGTGGACTGACTGGATTCTTCTTGTACCTTCTACTGGTAGAGAGCCATTGTTGGATGAGCTAGACCACAGCCTGTATGCCATTCTAATAAATTACCTTTATATATATATGCAATGCATGTAGATTCACCCTAAAAATTGTTTCTCTAGGAAGCCAGACAGAGTGACATGAATATAACATACTGAATTCTCATCCTGAACTTTAATTTACTTTTTTCACAGTGTAAATATGACAGGGTTGTATATAATCTGCTTTAATGATAAACTGTAAGCAACAGTGCCAGTGTTTAGAAACATTGGCCCCAAAGAAAGAAATACTGAAAACTAACGTGAACTAGTTGACTATCTGTCTGGAAGCAAATAAAGAACAGCTTAGATTATACAAGTACAAATTACCCCCCTCAGTAACTTCCCTGTCTTTTACAGACAAGACCTCAAGTAGTCATGCACTTGCTATGTAGCTGGATCTTGAACTCCTGATTGTTCTGCATCCACGTGCCAAGTGCACAGATTACAACTTGTAGGATCCTCTTGTTTGTTCTCAGTTCTTCAGAACTCAAGGCTTTGTAAGTACTCTAGTTCTTCCAACCAATAACTCCAAACTGCACAGGGGTATGTAACTTCTTTGATTAACTTCAGACAGCTGTAGAACTTCTAGCAAATGCATGCATACACAAATTCCGAATGTACCTCAACCACTTTAAAATGATCACTTTTAAAGAGCTAATATACTTCTCCCTTAGATTTATTTTATGTGTATGAGTGTTTTGTCTGAATGTATGCACAAGGATGCCTGTGTTCAAGGATACCAGAAGACAGCTTTCGATTCCCTGAAACTGGAGTTACAGACAGCTGTGAGACACCATGTGGGTGCTGGGAATGGTACCCAAGTCCTCTGCAATAACAGAATGTCAGCACTCTTTTTTGCTGAGCCACCTCTCCAGTCCCTAAAGAAATTATTTTTAGAAACCCCAACAGTTTCTAGGAAGCAAATGATGAAACCAATATACGTTTATCAAGAACACTTTTTATTTCTGCCAAATGAGATTTCAATGAAAATGATCCCTATAAGCTCATATATTTGCATGCTTAGTTCCCAGTGGAACTGTTTGGAAGGATTATGATGCATAACCTTGTTGGAGTAGCTGGAGTGGGCTTTGATAGTTCAGAAAGTCCACACCAGGCCCAATATCTTTTTCTGTGCCTGCTGTCTATGGATGAAGATGTACAACTCTCAGCTACTGCTCCAATGCTATGTCTGTATGCTTCCTGCCATGACAACAGACTAAAAACCTCTGAAACCTTAGGCAAGTTCCCAATTAAATGCTTTCTTTTATAAGCAAGGTGGAACACAGGCAGACATGGTACCAGAGAAGTAGCTGAGACTTCTACATCTGGATTGGCAGACAGAAGGGAGAAAAAGTTACAATAGGCCCAGTTTGAGCATTTTAGACCTCAAAGCCTGCATCTAGTGACACACTTCCTCCAACAAGGCCACACCTCCTAGCAGTGCCACTACCTATGAGCCTATGGGGCCATTTTCATTCAAACTATTATACTCCCTGGACCCCACATAGGTATAATGTGATACAAAATGCATTTAGTCCCACTTAAAAAGTCCCTATAGTCATTAACAGCCTCAACATTGCTTAAAAATCCAACGTTCTGAGATTCAAGCAATCTCTTAACTGTAATTCCCTGTAAAATCAAAATGAAAAAGCAGATCACATACTTCTAACATACAATGAAACAGGATATACATTAAAATTCTAAAAAGGCAGCACAGAGAAATACTGGACCAAAGCAGGGCCAAAAACCAGCTGGGCAAACTCCGAACTCTGCATTTCAATGTCTGATGTCAAAATGTTCTTTAGATCTCTAACTTTCAGCTTTGTTGACTGCAACACACTTCTTTCTCAGGCTGATTTCACTCCCTGTTAGCAGCTTTCCTCAGCAGGTATCCCACAGTTCTGGCATCTCCAATATTTTGGAGTCTCCAAGGCAATCCAGGCTTCATCTTTATGATATGGCTTCTCTGTGCTTCTATGAAGGGAAACCCCTGACACATACCTGGCCTCAGCAGCTTTCCTCAGTCAAGGGAGGTTCCATAACCCCTTTCTTCTATCCTTGACTCTAAGCCCAAATCACATGGCCAAAGCTGTCAAGTTTGGCTGCTTGCTGGGGCTGGAACATAGCACCTTGTTTAACTACATCCTCACCAACTTTCTGTTTTTGATGGTTTCTTTCACTGTCTTTGCTGTTTCTGAACTCCCTTAGACCAGGATAGCCTTGTACTCAGTGATTCACTTGCCTCTGTCTCCAGAGTGCTGGGATTAAAGGCACGTATCACTACATTGGCTTTAAACTTTTAAACTCCTTTTACAAGGTGCAAGCTTAGCTGTGTGGGATCTTATCCTGAGGTAACCATTCCCTTTATTCCAATTAACATCAGGATAGTTTTTAATCTCTTTATCTCCATGAACACAGGACTTAGCTCTACTTTCTGGTACACTTTTCTCCTCACATGGTACATTTTGAAAAGTTTCCTTGCTCCTTTTCACTGTAAACCTGTGTAAGCATGGTCACTAATAATCAAGC